ACAAAGAGAGGAAAAGAAGAAACAAACTTTTTATGCAAGAACTAGAGAAGTTAAATGTGCCATTGCCTTGGAGAAGCCTGTGTTGCTTCTTAGGTACAAGGAAATTTTATTTGCTGAATCTAACACTAACCTTGACAATTAGCCTTCTATGTTTGTTTCTATGTTGCAGGAAGGAATTGATGATGTCTTTCCTAGTGAATTACCTAGTGGTTTACCACCTTTAAGGGGAAATAGAAATCAAATTGACTTCATCATGGAATCCACCATGTCCAAAATAAGCCTGCCTATAAAGCAATCCAATGGAAGACAAAAGGAGTTGAAAAGGCAAGTTGATGAAACTTATGGAGAAAAGGTTTGGTAAGAGAAAGCATGAGCCCGTGTGCCGTCCCAGGGTGCTTTTAAGTGCCTAAAAGGATGGAACATGGCGCATGTGTGTTGATTGTACGGCAGTCAACAAAATTACTTGTAAAGTATAGACACCCTATCCCTAGACTTGAAAATGATATTGTTGGAATGAATTGCATGGGGCAACATTACTTATAAAAATTGATTTAATGAGTGGTTACCAATCAAATTAGAATGCAACCAGGTATTCCGGGACCAGTTCCGCGATCCTCGCGACGTCCTGGACGTTTCAAGTACCATATTGGCATACTTTCGGTAAACTTCCAAAATGGCCTTCGGTCCTGCCGGACTGCTTGCAGTCCAGGAAAACTGGCTCTTTGAGCCTCAAAGTTTGGGTGTTCACAGTATACTTTGATGATATACTCATTTATAACAAGTCTCTTAATGATCATGTTGAGCATGTTAGGATAGTATTACAAACATTAAGGTCTGAATAATTGTATGCTAAACTTAACAAATGCACATTCTATATAGATAGACTTGTATTTCTTGGATTTATTGTGAGTGCACAAGGTATTGAAGTAGATGAGGAGAAAAGGAAGAAAGTAATAAGCTATCAAAAAGAAGAGTGGCCAACTCCCAAATCAGTTTCTGAAGTTAGGAGTTTTCATGGGTTGGCGAGCTTTTATAGAAGGTTTGTAAAAGATTTCTCTTCAATTGCAGTGCCACTAACAGAAATAATCAAAAAGGAAGTTGGGTTCAAGGGGGGAGATGAACAACAAAGGGCGTTTGACACGCTTAAAGGGAAGTTAACTTCTGCACCTATACTTTCTTTGCCTAATTTTGAAGGTGCTTTTGAGATTGAGTGTGATGCTTCTGGTGTGGGAATTGGGGCTGTCCTAATGCAAGAAAAGAAACCAATTGCCTACTTTAGTGAGAAGTTGAAAGTTGAATGGAGCACAACTCAAACTAAATTCAAACCTATGACAAAAGTTGTAATGCCTTGGTAAGAACTCTATATGTTTGGCTAACACTACTTACTAGATACGGATCGAAATCAAAGGAATGAAAGATGTAAGTTCGCCCTAGCACCCCTACGTTTTATAATGGAAACGGAAACAACCAATAATCGAGATTTAAACGCTCTAGTGGCACCCACGTTTAATAAGGAAACGGTAACACCAATAAGAATCAAGCAAAAAAAGAAACAAGATAAACGCACAAATCGAATTGAATAAGGTTTACCTAAATTCTTGAATGCAATTAGAGGGAACAATCTCTCCAAACTGTCAACCTCTAAAGCAAATGGAACAAAGCAAAAGCTTGAACAAAATGAAAGTTTTTTTCAAATTTATCAAAGTTGTCCTTATTACATGGAAGACAAGCTATTTATACTAAAATAAGGAATCTAGGTTTAACAAAGCATAAAAACACACAAAAAACGCCTAAAGTTCAATGGGCTAAAACTCCGCAACTGTAGCAACTGTAAGCGCGTCTGAGTAAACCTGTAGCAGTTTACTGTAGCAAAGTCCATAATTTACTGTAGGCAAAAGTCAAACTAATTGGTAACGGGCAAGCTGTAGCAGCGTGCTTTCCTCCACTTAAAGAGCCCAAACCAAACCAACATTAGAAAGCTTAGGAATGCCTTCAAGTTCCTCACAACACTTGTTGAATGCGACATCATGCAGTTCTTGTGTGATTTGGGCTTGAACAAATGATGATATGGCTGCCCCATATCGCTTGGCATGGCTCCTTGTAATCGGTCCAATAGAAAGCACCAATGGATCTCCTTCGTCGTTCGCCATGCCTCCTTGCGATCCACTGACGAGTGATGATGGATCCGTATCAATAAGTTAGCCCATTTTTGTTAGTTTTGAGTTGTAATGTTGTTAATGGGTTGGGCCACCCTTTTAATTTTTATCCTTATTTGGTTTGGATTAATAGTGGGTTGAAATTTATTGAACAATTTCCCATATGTGATTAAATACAGCAAGGAAAAGATAATGTTGTTGCTGATGGCTCATTGTCAAGAAATGATATACTCTAATTACCTGCTTTCTTAGTATGTAAATTGCTTGGATTTGAGTAATGTTAAGGAACTTATATATGAATGATTCTGACTTTGACAATATATATGTAGCAGTGAGCAAATGGAGCAATTTGATAAGTTCCAATAGACAAATGATGGATATTTGTTTTATGTCATTTAATTATTGTCCTTTACTTTAATAGCACTTTAACATTTATGTTCTTTATTATTTCTGTCCTTTAAATTCTTGTCATTTAGTTTAATGTTCATTATTATTGGGCTAGCCTTTTATTTGTTAATCTTGGATCATTTACATTCATCATATTCATGATGTTGGATGATTGATTATGCTATGATCTTGTACTTAATATGTAATTATGTCGATTGATACGGATCCATCACCACTTGTCGTTGAAACCCAAGGAAGCATGATGAACAACGAAGGAGATCTATTGGTGCTTCCTAATGGACCGATTACAAGGAGCCGTGCCAAACGATATGGGGCAGCCGTATCATCATTTGTTCAAGCCCAAATAACACGAGAACTTCATGATGTGGCATTTAACAAGTGTTGTGAGGAACTTGAGTGTTGCGAGGAACTTGAAGGCATTCCTAGGCTTCTTATGTTGTTAGTGGCATGTGAAGTTGGTGTGCTACAGTTGCACGGCCGTGCCCCCTAGCACACCCCAGACCGTGCTCTCTACTGACTCTTTTAGGTGAAAAGAGCACGCCTGCTATAGTGCCCGTGCTACTGCGCACGCCCGTGCTACCAGACTGTGCACTCTACTGACTCTCTAAGGGGAGAGGAGCACGCTATGCTACAGTGACTTGATTTTTTTGGAGTTTTGAAGAAGCATGCCCATGCCGACTAGCACGTCCCAGACCGTGCACTCTACTGACTTGGAGTTTTGAAGAAGCACGCCCGTGCAAGCTACCACGCGACCATGCTACTGCACACGCCCGTGCTACTGCGCACGCCCTGGCCGTGCAACCTACTGACTCTTTAAGTGTGCTACAGTGCCCATGCTACAGTGACATGTGCTACTGCACACGCCCGTGCTACAGTGCCCGTGCTACAGCACACGCTCGTGCCAATTAGCATGCCCGTGACTGTGCCAGACACTGACTTAGGTGTGTTTTGTGTGTTTTATGCTTTATTGAGCCTATTTTCTTATTTTAGTATAAATAGCTTGTCTTCCATGTAATAACACAACTTTGATATATTGATAAACTTCATTTGTTCAAGCTTTGCTTGTTCTCCTTTGCTTATATAGTGAAGATCTGCTTTCCTGCTAATTGCATCAAGAATATAACGGTAAACTTATCCAACTCGGTTACAGTGGCGTCTTATCTTGTCTTTGCTCGATTATTGGTGTTTACCGTTTCCTTATAAATGTGGGTGTCATAGAGCGTTTAATCTCGAAATTATTGTTGTTTCCAGATCCTTATAACGGTGGCGGGGGTCCATAGAGAGCGAAAACTTATATGATTGGCTGGGGAAAGTGGAATTGGTTTTGGATAGAGAAAACACAGTGCTTACAGTAACTCACGATATAAACTCAAGAAGCATCCGTTGCTACAGTACCTTAAAGAAAAAAAAGAGTAGATGATTGTTATGGAAACAAACAAACCAATAGTTTTTTGGAAACTAATACAAAAACCCAAAATGTGATAATTAACAACTTTCTTGTTTTCCAAATCCTTGATCTCCTTTCTCAAAAGTACTTACAGCAAATCCCTTTATATAGGGAAATCAAGAGATAAGCCATAAACTCCTTTGAATGTGTGTTCAAAGACACAATTTCAAAAGACCACCCTAATAGCGTTGAAAACAACACATTCAAGAATCCACTAACAGGTGAAAAACAAACTTTCATTCAAAACATAATTCATAGGACACCGTAACTAAGTTTGAAATAACTCATTCAAAGACACAATTCAAAGAGACACACAACTACTGAACTGTGAAAAACAACACCAAAGAGCTAGAATTCACAATGATGGCAATGATCAACAAAGTGCTCCTTGATTGTTGTCTCAAAGATGATGTTTGAGGAACCCAAATGGCCTAAAAGGAGCACTGTAGCTTAGATTGAACATGTCACTTTCAGATTGAACATGTCACTCCCACCAAGCCCATCTTCACTTGGACTGTCTTCATCAACTTCACTAATGGAATCAAGACCAAGGCCTATGTCTAGGACAACTTGTAAGGCTAGGATAGATGGACCTCCATCATTCTCCCCTTCTTGAAAAGTTTCAACTTGGTCAGAAGTTGACATGGTGTCTTCCTTGTATTTGGCTAAGTCACTTACATTGAAGTTGTTGGAAATCTTGTAAGACGGAGGCAGCTCTACCTTGTAAGCATTCTGGTTTACCTTCTTAACGATCTTGTAAGGACCCTCGGCTTTGGGCATAAGTTTATTCTTTCTTTTAGAAGGGAATCTCGTTCCTTCCTTGATACGGATCCCGTCATCCGCTCGTCAGTGCGACGCAGGGGCATGGTTGAACGACGAAAGAAGATGCCATTGGTGCTTCCTATCTGGACCGTTACAAGAGCCGTGCAAAGCGATACTGGGCAGCCATATCATTATTTGGTCAAGCCCAATCACACAAGACTGCATAGATGTCGCATCAAACAAGTGTTTGTGAGGAACTTGAAGGCAGTCTAGCTGTCTAATGTTGTTGTGGCTCTTTTAAGTGGAGGAAAAGGCTTCCAGTTCGAGAGAACAAAAGAGTGTTAAGAGAGAGGTTGAAAAGAAAGAGGCCACAAAAGATACCAAACAGATTATTGGCCCAACGGTGAGTGGAACACCGAGAGGAGAGAGAAAGAAACACACTTTTTATGCGAGAGTTAGAGAGGTTAAGTGTGCCATAGCCTTGAGGCAGCCCGTGTTGCTTGCTTCTTAGGTTCAAGGAAATTTTATTTTCTAACGCTGACACTAATCTTGATGGTTTACCTCCTGTGTTTGTTTCTATGTTACAGGAATTCACTGATGCTTTTCCAGAGGAGCTACCTAGTGGATTACCACCTTTGAGAGGCATAGAACATCAGATTGATTTCATTCCCGGTTCCACCATTCCAAATCGACCAGCCTATCGAAGCAATCCGACGGATACAAAGGAGTTGCAAAGGCAAGTTGATGAGCTTATGGAGAAAGGATTGGTGCGAGAAAGCATGAGTCCTTGTGCCGTTCCAGAACTTTTTAAGTTACCAAAAAAGGGATGGTACATGGCGGAATGTGCATGACTGCGGGCCGGTCAACAAAATCACTGTAAAGTTACTAGACACCCGTATTCCTAGACGGGATGATAGTGTGTGATGAATTGTGTGAGGTCGACTTACTTTCAAAGATTCGATTTAACATGAGCGTTCATCAAATTCAGGATGCAAACCAGTGTGATGGAATTGGAAAGACTGCTTTCCAAAACTAAGTATGGGTTTGTTATTTGAATGTGTTAGTTTATGCCTTTTGGATTTGTTGCTAATTGACCTAGTACTTTGCATGAGGCTATGAACCATTGTTTTTGACGTTGCTTTCTCAGGAAAATTTGTAGTTGTGGACTTTGATTGGATATACTTGTTGTATAGCCCCCCCAAGTCTCTTTAATGAATTCTCATGTTGGGCATGTTAGGCTAGTATTACAAGCTTTGAGATCTGAACACTTGTATGCTAGCTTAAGACAGACTGCACATTTTTGTTATTAGATAGACTTGTGTTTCTTGGTTTTGTGTGGACGTGGCAGGAGTATAGAGTGGATGACGAGAAGTGAAAGCTATCAAGGAATAGGCCAATGCCGAAATCAGGCTTCGTGTGCCCCAACATCAACAAAAGGTTCTCCATGGTGTTATATATACTTCTACCGACGTTTGTACAGATTTCTCTTCCAATTGCATGCACCACTCACGGAGGTAATAAGGAGGAATTGGGTTCAAGTGGCGAGGACAGACAGGAAAGCGTTTGACCATGCTTAAAGGGAACGTTGACAATCCGGCTGCAACATTCTTTCTTTACCTAATTTTTGAGGAACACCTTTGAAAATTGAGTGTGATTGCTTCTGGCATTTTGGTAGGTATTGGAGAGTGCTGATTGCAAGAGAAGAAGCCAATGCCTATTTCATGAGAATTGAATGGAGCACAAGCTCAATACTCGACCTATGATAAGGAAGCTAATGCCTTGTTGAGGGACTTTGAAACGTTATGGCCAACACTACTTGCATAATGAAGGAGATTGTCAATTACATGAAATCATGAAGCCCTTACACACATTGAAGGGTCAAGGTAAGACTCAAAAGCAGAACCAATGGAAAGTGGGTTGAGTTCATTGACCAATTTACCCTTACGTATATATAAAATACAAGCATGAGAAAGATACGTATGTTAGCTGATCGCAATCTGTCACGGAGACATGCATTACGTTACTACTCTAATACGTTCTAAGTTCTAGGATTCTTGGTATGTTAAGGATTTTATTGTGTCTGATTCATATTATTGGGCAAATGTGAATTTGAATGTGAAAACATGGAGATTTGAATAATTTTAATAACCGACATGAACAGAGAAATATATAAATATAAAAAAGAACAAAAAAGAATAAAAAACCTTTGTGTATACTAAATGCATCTATGCGATGAATAATAAGGAAATAAAAAAAAAATGAATAAACTTGAAGGCAATCATTGGATGGGGGTAAATGAATGGAACAAATGATATATAGAAAAAAAAAAAAAAAAAAAAAGTAAATAAGACTCATATAGACAAATAAAGTTGAAAAAATAGAAACAATTTTTATTGGCCTTCATATGCACGTAAAAAAGAATAGTCAGAAGAAAAAGTTATAGTAGAAATTTCTTAGCCATTTGTAAAAACAGGCCAAAGTCCCTAAAAGTCTATTTAATAAAGCTTGTATATGCCGTTTACGCAGTTCCTGAGTTCACCTTGGGTTGATATCTCTATGGATTTTGGTACTTGGGTTAACCTAGGACTAGGCATGGTACGAACAGTATATTTGTAGTTGGTTGGATAGGTTAGCAAAATGGCTCATTTCATTCGCTTATCATAAAATGTGATGCCATTCATTATTGCTGAATTTTGTTTCTTTAGTTAGAGAGGTGGTACGATTACATGGAGTTCCACGGACTATCGTTTCTGATAGGGATGCTAAGTTCCTTTCACATTTTTGGAAGGTTTTGTGGGGT